TTCAATATGAAAAAGTATGAAAACAATATCCTTATAGTTGGACAGGGGTTTTCCATTATTCTAATTTCTGCTGACGGCAATGACCTTTAAGAATCCAACAAACTACCACAGTATTGTAACTGTTGCATTGAACCACTGTAAATTGTGCTAAATCAATGTCAGCATGGCACTGGTTCATTCCATTGTGGCAGATTTGTTATTCAATAGCAACTGGCACAGCAGCATTCCCAGTACCGACCATGTTATAAAATATAGATTACACAGCCACAGCGCCAGAGCTTCCCAGCAACTTCAAGAAGGAATTATTTGGTACAGAAATCAATTAAAGGGCATGGGATATGGAAAATGGAGGATGATTTGTTTTATTTTTACTTTGGGCCTATCCAGATAAACCACATTCAGCATCCTCCAAGTACTTATCTTCCTTGTCAGTGGTGCAGCGAATTACCAAAAGAAGCAAAGGGTCTCAGAATTGCAGGGAAAGTTTTATCAGAAACAAACATAAAAAATAGACCTAAACTAAACATGAAGAGAACAAGAAAGAGTACTACAAAAAACAAAGAGTAAACACTAATCTTTTACCAGCCTGACCTCCATGTCCTTTAAAGTGAACCAAAGGCCTCCTTTGTTCCCATTGAGATTTATTCAGTTTAGTTCATACTTTTGGATGATCAGTACATTGTTAAGCACTCCAAGATGCTGCCCCATGTGAAGGGTGCTATACAAATGCAAGTTATTGTTGTTGATGTTGTTTGACATGGCCTGCAAATTTACATATATTGGATCAGTGGTTTAATGTTCTATTTTCCTGTTTAGACCCCTACACTGTGAAATCAGCCAAATCAATTCCTTTCTTTAAAGGAATGAAACTTGTGATGAGGCACGGCCCATACGTGAAGCTGACCACAACATTTCTGTTTACATCCTTGGCTCTTCAGGTAACTCTGCTGATTCTTTATCATGTTTTGCATTGCGGAATACTACGGTATGAGTTATAGAGACAGCTTGTATTGTCCTATTGCCTAAGCTTTACATTAAAATTATTTGGAAATAAATCTTCAGTTTCCATATGAATCAAAAACGTGATGTACACATTTTAATCACAAAATCTTGTAATTGATGCAGTAATTGTCTGGAACTGAAATTATATTGAAAGTGTATGTTTGCAGGTGTGTTATGTATCTTGTGTTTGTGCGAGTATATTATTTACGTTTTCTTTTGTGTTGCCTGTATGCACAAGACTGTTTTCTTGCATGATTTATATCATTTTCTTTTATACACGCAATTATTGATAAATTAATCATGGAGAATCTGAATCCAATTTGAATTTAAAGGGAAACTTAACAGTAGTAGAGTTTGATGCCAAACCAGGAATAGAGGGAGGTTGACTTGGGAATGGTCAAAGAGGACGGTCTTCGGGATGCGATCTGAACACTGGCAAGGAAGGGGCAAGGCAAAGGTATTGCGACAGAGAGTTCCAAAGTTTAGAGGCATAATGACTGAAAGCACAGCCACCAATAGTGGAGTGGAGGAGAGGAGGGACCCACAGAACAAATGCTAAGCAAATATGCTCTCCAACGTGGAAGAGAAACATATTTTTTTTAAAAATTGGAATAATTTTTTTTGCTTTATAAATAACTCTAGAATTATAATCTTGTTACACACAAATCCTCTGCTGTTCCCAGACAGTGTTCAAATAACACAGTATTTTTGGAAGATTCTGGGTAACACTTTAATGTGTACTGTACGTGTATGTCCTCTCTGGTACTGAAAAAGTCATTCGGTAAATGAGATGGGGTAGGCACAGAAACTCATGGATCTGAATCTTGGCAAAATGTGTTTGCATCATGAAGTAACAATAATTACCATCCTTGCATTTGATATAGTGCCTTATCATGTCATTGAGACATCTCAAAGCACTTCACAGAATATTCTGTAAAGTGATTTGACTGTGTGTGTTGTGGGCGAAAAGCAATTGGGATTTAAGCCTTATATATCTTCCCCGGCTTATGAAACTCCAGGTTGTTCATATAGCCTGATTGCCTTCCCTGTGGCTGAATCTGGTGTGTGATTGCTTACTGGGAACAGCAGTGTTTTTATTGCAACATTTAATTGACATATCTAAAGTCAGCTCAATTTTGCTGATCTTCAAACTGAGGATATCTTTTAGTTTGTCATTATGCAGCTGTTCACTCAAGAGTGAACAGGAAACTATTTTTAGACCGATCAGCATTAGTTCATCAAAAGGCTAAGGAATAATACAATTCAAGTGCAATGAGAAAAAATGGGGTCAGACTAAGTAAATGTTTGCTAAAGATTCAATGACCGTGTTGAAAAAAGAAGGGAGTTTCTCCTGGTGTCCTGACCAACAGGTTATTTGGTCATTCATTTCATCGCTGATGTGACCTTGCAGATAGATGGCTGCTGCACCTGCCTAAAAATCAGTCACTACACATGACATGGCACTTTGAGATATTTCAATGGGATAAAGCACAATAAAAATGCAATTTCTTAAATCTCCTATATTAGACTATATTTCAGCAATGTAGCTAAATGTTAAATGTTAAGAATCCTGTGAGGTTAACTTCATTATTAAATCTATTTAGTGGAACCTAAACAAGTATGTCAACTTGGCTCGATGGTAGAACTCTTGCCTCCGAGTCAAAAGGTTGTGGGTTCATATCCCACGTCAGGACTTGAACTCACATAATCTATGCTGACACTCCAATGCAGTGCTGAGGGGGTGTTGCATTGTCGGAGGTGATGTCCTTCGGATGAAACATTAAACTGAGGTCCCATCTGCCTGTTCAAGTGAATGTTAAAGATCCCATGGCAATATTCAAAAAGACAAGAGAGTTTCTTGGTATCCTGGCCAATAAAACCTCTAAATAAAATTGGTCACTCACTCCCATGGCTGTTTGTGGGACACTGCTGTGCACAACTGGCTGCCGCATTCGAACTCAAAATACTGTCAATGCACTTTACATTAAATTCTGTGAAGCACATTGAGAACATGGAGTCAATATGAAAAGGCGCTATATCAAATGCAAGGATCATTATTTATCTTGATGTACCAAGGCTATAATGTGTTCTTTTCTCTCACCCAGCTTGTCCAGGGGAATTTTGCTCTCTTTTGTACCTACGCGGTGGATCTACGTCATCATTTTCAAAATATAGTACTGACAATCCTGGTAAGTTTAGTTTTATATTTTATTTATTTAAAAATGGCCTTTTCTGCACAAAAGAGACCTTACGCGCAAGGTGTGTTTTCTCCGATGCTATTGCTGTTTGTTTGGGATTAGGATGGATGACTTCTTGAAGGGGCAAAAACCAACATGAAAAAATGGGTCGAATGGTCTTTTTATGGCTCTATCTAAACCCTGTGGTTTTCCTAGTCAAGTGTTTTTTAATTCCCAAGTTTTATTTGAAACTTAGAAGCAACAACAACTTGCAGTTATATAGGGCTCTCCATGAGGGCATTATTTATAATAATAATAATAATAATCCTTGCATTTGACATACTGTGGAGTCCTGTAGCTCAGTGGTTAGAGCCCTCGCTTTGCAAGTGAGAGACCTGAGTTCAATTCCAGGCAGGGCGAAACATTGGGCAAGTTTCCTTACTCCACACAGAGCCTAATAATAATCCCTCCAAAAACCAAAAACAATAATAAGTGGTCATTTTCAATCTACGACTGTTTGTGGGACATTGCTGTGCGCAATTGGCTGCCGCATTCGCCCACAAATATACAGTCAATTCACTTTACAGTGTGTTCTGTGAAGCGCTTTGGGATGTCCTTCCGACGTGAAAAGCGCTATATCAAATGCAAGGATTATTATTATTATTATACTGCCTTATCACATCTCCGAGTCATCTCAAAGCGCTTCACAGAATATACTGAAAAATTGAATGACTGTATATTTTGTGGGCGAAACAATAAGAAACAATACGAGAAATCAGAACAGTTATGCAATCAAGAGCCAGAGAGCGAGAAATACATACAATTGCTAGGATTGATGGAGCAAAATGCCACATTGACACTCGGTTGTGTATTTGAACCTAGTAACTTACATTTCCTCTACATGAAGCACAGCATGTGTTTCAACCTGTAAGCATGAATGCCTCAAGACTAATAAAAAAGTAGACGAATGGAGACAAATTCTATTCTTAGAATTTAATATTCTTTGCAAGCATACTCTGTGGAGATATATATTCTTGAACCAAGATTAGTTTAACTAAAAAATGAAAGATAATAATGTAACTTTCAGACATTGTTTCATGACTTTTAAACTTTACATTCAGAATGTACTTTACCACATTCTAGGATTATTAAATAAACTGATAAGTTGCTGTTTTAAACAGTATTGCTGACTTGACTACTTCTTTTGATTATGCAAAATTGTTTGATATTAAACATTTATTGAGTTGTGTAAGATTGGCAGATTGGCACTGCACTTTTCCTTCCCACTCTAGGTTTCTGCAGTGGTGACAATCCCATTCTGGCAATGGTTTCTGCAGAGATTTGGCAAGAAAACTGCTGTGTACTGTGGGATTTCTGTATGTACTGGAACTTTAATCTCTCAAATTTGTAGCCTGATTCATTTCAATAGTTTCTTTGTTGGAAGATATTTATGATTAGCAAAATTAAATGGGAAGATATTCTGTTCTGGATCATTTAGTTTAATGAACTGCAGTTAGATGTGTATCCATCATTCTGTGCTCTCTTTAAGGATAGGTATGATGGAGTGTCTGTAAATTACAGGCAAGGTGATTTAGAGTTGGCATGTATTCAATGATACATTCCCAAACCAATAAGGGATCTTTCATACATTTGAAATATCACCTCTCACCTTGACTTGGTAGTATTTTACACACACAATTCCATTTGGTTCCTTTCTGTTTAAAATTTTTGTTGTTTTAATTTTATTCTTTCTTGTTTTGACGTTCTTCATAAGATGCTCACCTCCTGCATCAAAATAAGGAGTAGTGATAATCTCCATCCCCAGCCCACTTGCCTCCTGCAGTCCTGCTCTGACCTGCCTTATTATTCTCTTCATAGCAAAGCTAGATTGGGAATTCAGGGGAAGGGAAAACTGAACTTGCATCCTCTAGTGTTTATTAATACATCATTTTGTGGGGGTCTTTCCTGTTTATAGTGGATTATTCCGTTCTTAATCTTGATGGTTACCATTCCAAACAATCTCACCGTAGCCTACGTGGTGGCAATTTCTTCTGGTCTGAGTGTGGCTTCCTATTTCCTGTTACTGTGGTGAGTAAAACAACAGCTTGCTTTTGTTTTGTTGGAAACCTCAGTGAAGAGCAGAGCCCATTAGTGGATTACAGCTGCAAGGTTGCAACGAATAGCACAGAAACAAGAAATGACTAGAAGTAGCTAAGTGACGCAATGTGTTATCGTTTAAAAGCTTGTAAGTTGTAATATCAATATAACAATAATAATCCTTGCATTTAATATAGCACCTTATCATGTTGTTGAGATGACTCAAAGGGCTTCATAGGATATCCTATAAAGTATAGTGACTTTGTAATTTGTGAGTGAATGCAGTAGCCAATTGTGCACACAGCAAGGTCCAACAATCGCCAATTTTATTTGGGGCTTGTATGAGAAAGAGAAGACTTAAGGGTTTGAGACATTCCGTGCTATTGAAGTCCTGGAAAAGAGTAACTTTGAGTAGGAGACAGTTTGGGGAATTTTGGCAAAATGAAGATGCAGGGAGGAAGAGTGTCCGAGGATATCCTTGAATCAAGAAAGAACAAGATTGGAATATTCACAGGAGCAATGTCATCAGTATTGGTATTGGTAATTGAGAGAGACAGGAAAGTAAGTAACTGAAAGAGGGTTGAGGCCGGCAGTGAAGGAAAAAAAACACCTATCGATTGACAAGGTGTACAGGTCAACTGTTGGATATGGGATGAGTATTTAAGTCTTGGATGACTTTGGACTTTAGAGAGTTTTAATCTTTTAGCGGGGTGTCTGACACATGTGGAACCCCATCACCATGCTTACATCCAAACCAAACCGAGAATTCCATGCATCCCACCTTCACATGACAATTCCAGAGACAGATTGTTGGAATAGAACGCGCGCGCTCTCTCTGGAGGGACGCATCCTGCTTATCGAATTCTTGAAAGTATTAGGCGTAGGTTGGCAAGAACCAAGGCTTGGGGACCCCAGAGTGTGAGTTGGATCTGACCAGTTAAAACTTGCAGTTGATATCACTGTCTGGCAAGCTTTCCCGCTGTGTATCCAGCTAGAGAGTTAAGAGTTGTTGACAGAATAAAAAAATAATGTTTGGCACAAAGGAAGTCATGAATTGCGGAGGCTGCTTTGGCAATGAGAAACTGTCAGGATTTAAGATCAGAGTAGGTAGTGAGTCTAAAAATGTTAATTAAAGCTGAAAGAATAAGAATTGTACCACTAAATGTCAGAGGTAATTGTGTTGGTTAGACTTGTGGTAGGTGTGAAGAAACCTTTCCATCAGTTCCATGTGTTTTTATGGAACTGAAAGAAACAGATTTATCATTGCCTTCTCATGAGGCATGAATGAGAACAAGATTTAACTGTTCAATATTGAACTGTAAGAATAGTGACCCACTGCATCCCACCCGGCCTGCCTGCAGGCTTGCTCTGATCTGGTTAAGTGAAGATGTGTGTGTGTCAGTGTGTACTGAGAAGGAAGTTGGACATGAAGGATAGTGAACCTAGAGTGGCATCATTTGTAAGATTATTGATATGGCTGGATGGTGACAGGAGGTGGTGATTGATGTGGAGAAGGAATAAAGTGGGAAAGAGATAGAACCCTGGGAGGATGAACGATTACACACAGGACAGATAGAATGATTTAAGAGGAAATTAGACAGCCGTGAACAGACAGCTTTGATGGATGACATTCAATTGCAACTTATTTCGAACTTCACAGTGATGTCAAGCAGAATAGTATAACAAAGTAGACATTAGGAATTACTATTTAGATTGTCTGTGGTACACCCTAACAACTATACCACAAGATTAGGAAATAATGACTTGTTATAATGTCTGATATGGGGGGGGTGGGTGAGTTCTAACACGCTGTTCATTAATGCTAGCACCATCCTTTGGAAAAATTGTGCCAGCATTAGCGATCTTTGCTTGTCAATTCCCATGATGTGAATTATTATTCTATGGAATATTTCTGTGTAGTAAATCCAAGTCCTGCTTGTTCCTCACTACAGGTCTATGCTACCCGATGTTGTTGATGATTTTAGACTCCAAAACCCACACTCGAAAGGCATGGAACCTATATTCTGTTCATTTTATGTTTTTTTCACCAAGTTTGCTGCTGGCGTTTCTCTGGGATTCTCTACTCTTAGCCTTGAGTAAGTGATTCAATTATCCTTAAGTCAAATGCATAACTTCACTAAAGGTGTTCAAATATCAGTTATTGGGAGGTGCACAAGAGCAGACTTTCTTGAGGTTATATAAAATGATTTAAGGTTTAAGATTATCTTGACTGAAGTAGCCAATCTTCATATATAAACCTAGATAACAACAAGGCAATGTTTATTTGACAATAGGAGCATTACAACCAATGTTTGATCCTGTCCTTGACTGACAAACACAGTCTGTGTTGCAGTATAGGTCACAAGATAGTAATCCGGAGCAGGATTTCTCATCTCTTTACACCAGAGTTGTCAAGTGTAATGTCTCTATTGCCCTGAAGCTGAGATGAGCAAATTCAAAGACTGGAAATCAGCACCAAAATCTTTCTGATTTGAATGGCTCAATACAACCTCGGTCATGTTGCTCACTGAGCTTACTGTTGAAGATTTTTAAGATTCAGATGATACAATCCCATCAGCTAATGGCAGCAAAATGCTTTTTCTGATTTGGAATTATAAAAAAATGTTACAAAAATCACATTGTTATTTTCTTTCAAAAAATGATTTGCAACAACAACAACTTGCATTTAAATACCACCCCCTCACCTTGAGTAGCATCCCAGAGCGGTTATAAATTACATGCAATTAAAAATGAGCCCCCCCTTGGAGCCAGGACAACACTGTGATCACATAGCACTCACTTGGAAACAGATAAGCCAAACTTGCCGTTAACTCCTGCTGTTTGTGTATAAGTTTTGCAGGCTATGAAACTGGGGCCTGCTCCCAGCCCCCTTCGGTGGCTTTCACCTTGAAACTCCTGGTGGGAGCAGCACCAACAGGTCTGATATTCATCGGATTGTTGATATTCCGATTTTACCCAATAACAGAAAAAGACAGAATGAGAAACAAATTGGCACTGAAAGAGCTCAGGTAGGAATTTATTTCTGTGTCTATGTGCTCTATTGATTGGAGACCTGGGGCTTCGTGATCTTTCCCAATAATTGTTCCATAATTGAAGTACAGCGGAACCACACATTGTGAACACCTCGGGAGTGAGACGACTTCACTCTTTAGACCACTTTTTCACGTTTCTTCTTGTTTTTATTTCATTTGAAACTGACGCTGACTAAAATCTGAAACTCACTGATGTATACTGACTGTCCCCAATGTTGAGCTTTCACAATATAATATTGTAATACAAGCAGTGACAAGTATTCATTGCTGATCAGTAGAAATGAAATGAATGAATTTAAGAATTCGAAGGCCAGCTGTCTGTAAAGTCTCACTCGCTTAACACATGGCCATATTTCTAGAATAGGTCCATATAAGCCAGCAAGGCTACAAGTGCTGGGCTAAATGCTCAGCCCACTTCTGCAGCTGTTTAACGAAATGGCATTAAACACAACAGAAATCAATCGAGTGGAAGAAGACGAGAATCATATTTCCTATCTCCTGTGTGCTGTGGTAGAGGTGTGTGTGGGGGGGTATTGGGGAAGAGGAAATGAAGACAGCAATGGCACTTGCAGTGAGGCACCAGATTTAGATCTGTCATCAACAGAAGGGACGCAATATAAGTACGTCATTAGATAGCTGAACTATCTGGTGTCTGTTGTGAGAATTGATTTGTTTCACATAACAGAGGCATAGGCATTGCTTATTCCCAGTAGCCTTCCCTGACTCATCCTCACTGTGGGAAGTGATGACACTTTATTCACTTTCCATCCATTTATTTTATGTCAGTGAATGCCAATTTGCTATGCACTCATGTTCACAAGAAAATAGGCTGCCATCATCACACAAGAACTTTTCACTTAGCATCCTTATCAACTACAGAGCAGATCTTCCTCACAACTGCTGGATGAGATTCGGTTTGTAGAGATGGTGATCTAATGCACTGTGCCAACCAGTATCCAGTCTCAGTTTATATCAACTATGACTTCACTTTTTAGCTGCATATTCTCTTCCAAACAGAAAGATAATATCTGCCTTTTTATTGAAGTGCAGGAAAATGAATATATCTTGTTGTACATTGTGAAAGTAGTAACGTTTTCAGAATAGAATTTCTATTTTAAGATACGTACATTAAGTTCCAATATATAAACATAATAATAATAATTCTTGCATTTGATACAGCACCTTATCACATCATTGAGATATCTCAAAGTGTTTCACAGAATATACTGTGAAACATGGCAGCCAATTGCTCCCATCAATGTCCCACAAACAGTCGTGGATTGAGTGACCAATTTTTGTTTAAGGGATTATTACCTCCGGTCCGCCATTCGATTAACAACTGAGCTCCTACTTCCTTGCTAGGTAAACAGAGGCGTGTGGAGTAAGGAAACTTTCGCCCCGCTCACGAATCGAACCCAGGTCCTCGCTTGCGAGGCAAGTGCTCTAACCAATATGTTACAGGACTCCACAATGCAATGTAAATTAGGTTATTCTTATACCTTATTGAACAACAAAACAATATTGATTTTTACAGTTTAAGGATGTTGTATCTCTCCCTTGTAGCCCTTTCAGTCGGCTTTCCCAATTGCAAACTCTTTGTCCTTCCTAATCTGCTGCTCCGAAGGCAACCGTGTTTCACTGGCATCCTTTCTCACAATAAGGATGAGCCAGGGTTGACAATGCAGCAACCCGTGCTTTGTGAAATGAGTCTGGTCAGATATAAGAGAGGATAACAGCTCCACATGCAACATCACATTGGCCAGCAGCACTCTTTGCCTCCCTGTGAGATGCAGGTGAAAAACTAGGTTATTTTTAGAATAGGGATTTGAGAACAGGTATCAATAAAGCGAGAAGCTAGTGTGAGAGGGAGGATTAGGAGAGATGGACCTAGAATGGGTACGACTGTTTGTGGGACATTGGTGTGCACAAATGGGCTGCGCTATTCACCTTCAAATAATAAATAATAAAATAATGATCCTAGAATGATCATTGCATTTGTTATTGTGCCTTTCTTATAAAGCGGATGTCTCAAAGCAATCATAGGATTTGTTATAAAGTGTAGTAACTGTGTACTTTGTAGAAGGCAGCTAATTATCTGCAAAGCATCCCATGTCACAGAAACCTATGTGAAGCGTTTTGAGATGTTTTGGATAGTTTAAAGAGGTACTAAATTGAATTCAAGGAATATTAATATTATAAGACTGAATAATAATAATAATCCTTGCATTTGATATAGCGCCTTATCATGTCTTCGAAATGTCTCAAATGCTTCACAGAATATACTATAAAGTGAATTGACTGTATATTTTGTGGGAGAAACATGGCAGCCAATTGTGCAAAGCAGTGACCCACAAATAGTCATGGATTGAAGCAACCAATTTTAAGACTGGGAAGAATTGCAAGCTTTTGAACTATAGTTTTGCTCTGCTGGGACCAATAATTATGTTATTTTGTTCCACAGGAATAATAGTCAGAACTGTGATCGTCCACTAAAAGACATGGGGAGCATGTTATGACAAATAACAGGACCTTAAGTGTGACCATGGTTTGCCAGCCAAATAGATTTCCGATGATGTGGAAATTGTTAGCACCGCGACACTGGTGTATATTACACTATTGAGTGAAGATATGGTGGACACTGCAACTATTTATATTTTAATACAATTTCTGTAGATATTTATAGTATTTTGTAAACTTGTATTAACATGCTTATTTCATATAAAAGCAAAGGATGACCTGCTGTGTCAAAGATTATTTAATTTTGCTAAAAAAATGTACAATATTCATAGAATTCATTATTTACTAATTTTCCTCAAAAGTAACATGGAAAATTATTTTCTGCTAATAAGTTGTGGTGTTGTTTTTTTCTTTTCATGCTTGAGGAGTGAATACAAATAGGTTTCCAGAATGTGTCATCAAAAATATTTTTATTATTTCAGTATCTTTAAAGAGTGTGAATGCTTTATAATAAAGAATATTCACTCAGGATAGTGAAAATAGAAATATTGTATAAGGAACAAGTGAAGATATTATAAAAGTTGGTGTACTGGAATATATGATAACATTTTTGTAATCAAAGCTGCCAAATGTGTGATCAGTCTTAAACTAGGTTTATAATTTGGCTTAATATGTATATCGAGATTAATAAATATCACTTTTGGTCATGAAGCAGTGATGAAACATCTTTGGCCTGAGTTTAGATAGTAAAATGTCTCCATAAGAGATTGACTTTTAATAGATTTCTTCTGTGTGAATATGAGCTGACCATGAACACTAGATTGGTCTGTCAGCTGTATGTTTAACCAATAAATGATAATAATAATAATCCTTGCACTTGATATAGCGCCTTATCACGTCTTTGAGGCGTCTCATGTTTCACAGAATATACTGTAAAGTGAATTGACTGTGTATTTTGTGGGCAAAATGTGAATGGAAATAGTTTAGAAAATAATGAAACATCCCTGTTAAATATTTGTTATATCTCATCAAGGTGTCACAATTGAGAATGCAGATGGGGTCTAATTTGTGAGATTCGCCAAAGGTTTTGTAACTAGCGAGTGAATCCTGCAGGACTTGCCTGAGGCCGAACCTCCAGAATCTGCTCAGACATTGATTGGCCAAAAGAGATTGCTGGTGCCTGGCTGGACATTTGCACCAGTTGACATCTGAGCTGATTTCCATAGTGGCACTTTCAGACACGTCCAAGTACCAGATTTTCTATTTATAATTCCCTTTGTCAACATTGCAAATTAAACTCAGTTGTATTCCACTTATCTATGTATTAATCTGAAGTAAGATTTGCTTCTGTCTTTCTCACTTTGTTGATGTGCCTAATGAATACAGGCAGCAGGATATGCAAGAAGTCTCAGTACGTCAATTTGAAAAATGCAAAATTCACAAAGTAGAATTTCCTGCGCTAATATGCTTCTGGTTTGTGCATGATATTGTGGAATTTGTTACCAAATTGGACAATATCCACTTTTTTCTTGGCTGAGAATTTTCCTGAAAGCAAAATGCCAGCAGCAATTATGACTTCTGTTTTGTGCGTACCAGTTTCCAACTCTTGTATCTGATTCATTTTGTTAATTATAAGTCACAAGCCACCAACTTAAGCTCACTTGTGAGATAAACTGTATCCCACAACTTCTTACGAATTATCCACCATTTATTTATCTAGTTATTTATTCATGTATTCGTTATCTACCTACTTTGGATATATGGATAATTCAATGGATGAAATGACTGCAATAAAAATATTTTGGGACCCTTTCTGCTTCTCTTCTTTTTCTCCTGTTCTTAGCACAAATTTATTGTGTTATGAGCTATTCCAACAAACAAATGAATTGTTTTACAATTGTTTGACAACATATTCATACAACAGTAACCTTAAAACCACCATGAACTTGGCCAAAGGCTGTCCAGGTCTAATGTCTAAGTCTGTTTGCTAGCTGAGGTTGCTAACATCCAGTTTTGGACCAGACTCTTTCTCTGAGTATATAAGAATATAAGAATTGCTAGATGAAAGAAGACTAAGGTCCATACAGTTCTCCTTCCACCACCCTGGCAGTTGCAAGCACATTGTCATGTCCCAAACTATAAACTATATCCCAAGATATTTCCTAAAACAAATCTAATTTGTTTTTGAAACAATCAACACTTCCTGCTTCCACTGTCTCCTTAGGAAGCTGGTTCCATAAATTTACTTAACTCTCATTGAAATCATTTCCGCAGATTTCTTTTGAATTTATCCCCCTACACCCTGTAAGATGTAAAGTATACACCAAAAGTTTTTCCTAAAGTCAGAGGTCATTTACAGAGGTCATTTTTGTCTTGCTCACGCCTGTGCAATTGTGAGGTCTATGATCCCAAGCTTCCTCTAGGTGTCACATCGTTGACAGTGATATAATGGAGTGCTCCTGATCCCCTGCCCTCTTGTGGTGTTGCAGCTGTTATTTCCTGACACAGCTTTGAAATCTGACAGATTTGCCACATCTAGCTTTATCCTCAGCACAGGTTGTTTGAAGCATGGCACAAAAAGATAGGCTACAGGCAGGATTTTGCAAAGCGAGGTGGTCCTAGTTATAGCTACTTCCTTAAACTCACGATTGAAGGAAAATGCAATCAATGCCTGAATCAGGAAGGTGGTAAAAAGCTGCAGTTCATATTCATCTATCCAGTTTTAAGAATGTTATGCAAGGGTTAACTTGATGAAGTGCTTGAGAATCTAATAATACTCCAGTACTGTCCAGGAGGAGCCTTAATGGTAAAATAGAAGTGTTATTTTGGTCCTGCTGCTTCATAATCCCCAAGGTAACATTTGGATAAGATTCACCCAGTAATCTGAATAGGCTGCTGAGAAAGAAATCCATTAAATCTCTTGTTGTACGCAGCTGGCAATATATCCAAGGGACCGGTTTACGTCTATAGGGCTCAAGGAGTGTTTCCAAATAGTTATTAGAGAACACCACAGGAAATCTTGGCTTTGTTCATATAAACAAATGCTCACCATATAGGTGGCTCCTGTACGCAATACAATAGAATTTAATATTTATATAGCACCTTTCAAATCCGGAGGGTGTCACAAAGTACTTAATAGTAGTTGAGCTGGGGTTGGGAGCCGAAAAGGTATTTAGAGTGGTATATTTTGAGACGTGCCATCCGGATGGAGTTCCAGAGAGTCGGGGACGAAAGGCTGAAAGCCCATCTGCTGATGGGATTAGGTTTAAGTTTTCTTCAACATTCAGAGCTTTACAAGTCTATCGTGGGGACATCAACACATCAAAGCTCTGTGTAAAAGTTGGTGAGAAGAGCTTATCATTCTGCTTTGGTGCAACGACTAGAACTTTGTTCCTCTGGTCTCCTTGAAACAGGGGAGTAAAATGCTTCTGGTTGTTGCACCAAAGCAGGATGCTTGAAAAAAGTGTGCGCTCAGCAAAAATACTACAGGGGAACACCACTATAGTAAGATTATTGGGAACCCAAAAAATTCCAACCCAAGTTATAAGTGAGGGAGCTGACAGCCTCTGCTGATCAGTGTTTGTAGGTTTGTGGCTTTACCAGAGGCGCAATAATAATCCTAATCCTAATCCTTGTATTTGATATAGCACCTTTCATGTCAGAAGGACATGTCAAACCTCTTCTTGCTTTGTGAACACCTGCAAAATGGTTGTATAGTGAGTCATTCGATGCACAATAACACAAATTGCATTTTTATCACACAATTCTCTTTGACTGTATTTTACTACAATGTATAAATGTAAATTGTATGAATTCACAAATGTGTTTCTGTTTGGTTGGGCTGTTAAAATTCTGTAAGCTTCCTATCATAATCATCATAATGTCTCAAAGCGCTTCACGTGATTAATTGTAAAGTGTAGTAACTGTATATGTAGGCAAACACAGGCAATTATGCACTAACCCACAATATCCCAACAAATAGCCATTAAGAGAATGATCAATTTTGTTTGAGTGATTGTTGCCCAGGACACCAGGAGAAACTTGCTTCTCTTTTTGAATCGTGCCAATAGGATCCTTAATGTCCACCTGATCAGACAAACCAACCTCAGTTTAATGTCTCGGCTGAAAGACGAAACCACCAACAATGCAGCACTCCACTAGCACTGGAGTGTCAGCCTAGACTGTGAGTTCAAAGTCATGATGTGGGACTTGAAACACACAACCATCTGGTTCAGAGTTGAGAGTGCAACCAATAGAGCCAGGCTGACACCTGACAAAGTGTTGCAGTTAATTTTATCCAACATGTTTCATTAAAGGCTTAATCTAGACTATGAGTTATGTTGTAACGTCTGTTTTATGTGCAAACATGCAGTGTGATGCCTGTGTTATCTTGAAACATTCTGTGCCTTCAGTGCTTATGTTTTTATATCTATTTCTACCATCTAACCAAGCTGCTAGCAATTGTGGGATAATTCACAGAAGCCATAAATCTGAGATAATGCTATTCAGATCTTTACAATTTACTGCTCTTAACCTCCTATAATCATGAAATAAAAGTTATACATTACATGTGTAAAATGAACCAGTTTTAATGTCTTTGTTCCTTCACCTTGGGATATTCCAGTTACTTGTGTGATTGGCAGGAAAAGCTCACAGAGCTTGGAAAACACACAGAAACAATTTTAGCTTTATATAGCGCCTTTCATAACAGGACAACGCCTCAAAGCAGTTCACGGAGCTCACTAGGAGTTGTAGGAAAGTGGGGATGTAACCAAAAACTCAGTTGAAAAGAAAGGTCTTTAAAGGTTTGCTTCAAAAGTGGTGAGGGAAAGGATGTGGCAGAGGGATAGAGTTCCAGAGAGCCAGGGCAGAATGGATGAAAGATTGGACACCAACTGTGGGGTGAGTTGGGGACTGGACGTAAAGCACTGTTCACTGAGCAGAGAAGCATGTAGATTTGGGGAGCACACTGCTGCTTACAATACAATACAAACAACAATACAAATTTACTTTATGTAGCATCTTTAACATTGGGAGGAGGTTTTAAGGTGCTGGACAGGATTTGAACCTAAGCTGGCGGTGGAGATTGGAGAGGTAAGGGGGATAAAAGATGTTTGAAGGCCCGGTCAAAGAAGAAGGTCTTAAGATGAACCTTGAAGAAGGTGAGGGAAAAGGCAAGGAGAAAGGACGCTGAGATGGAGTTCCAGAGAGTTGGGGCGCATAACCTGACCCCTCATGGTTGGGTGGGTGGGAAGATTTCCCTTTGCTATTGTGA